ATTGGCCAACTAATATATATAGAAAAAAAATTAGCCAGGCATGGTGGCACATGCCTGTAGTCCCAGCTACTCGGGAGGCTGAGGCAGGAGGATTGCTTGAGCTCAGGAGTTGGAGATTGCTGTGAGCTAGGCTGACGCCATGGCACTCGCTCTAGCCTGGGCAACAGAGTGAGACTCTGTCTCCAAAAAAACATAATACTGCATTCTCATCATGTACCTCTTTGCATGTAAAAACGCCTTTGCATTCCTCACCATGGAGGATAAAACAGCGCTTTTGGGGAAGACAGTGCGTGGTGGCGGCTCTCCAGCCCACAGGAGCACGCTCTGGCCAGGCAGCTGGATGTTGGGGCTTGGGCTCAGGAAGCATTTGCTTAGGACTGGGGGCTTTTCTCTGCCACAGTAGGGGATGCTCGGTCACCTGCAGGGCTTCTAAGATCCCAGTGCCCAAGCCCCGACCAGGGAATCCCAAGGCCAGGGCTGGACCAGGCACCCAGGGCTCCAGCGGGCAGTGGGCTGAGAACAGGGCCTAACTCGGGCCTGTGGGCAGGGGCTGGAAGGAAGGCTGGTGTCCCCGCCCACCCTGTGTCTCCAGGGACCACCGGCGAGGAAGGGTCCTCCGGCCCACACACGCTGCCCGGGCTCCTGACGCCTCAGCCACGATGCCATGGGACCCCACGCAGACCTGTTCACAGACAGGTACCAAGGCTTGGACAGGCCGGAGTCACAGGGCTGGGCCAGGGTCGCATTCTTGCGGCTTAGTGACTCAGCGGCCAGTAATCCGTAGGCCTCCGAGGGTGCGGATTGCCGAAGTCAGGAGTTCAACAGCCTGAGCAGAGCAAGACCCGTTTACTATAATAGAAAGAAATTAATGACACAAGCGATGTGGGGTCTCCCCCAGGGGCAGCACAGGCCAGCAGGGTGGGCTCAGGCACTGGGTTGGGGCAGGCAGGGGCCAACCTGAAGCCTCCCCGGGACACACCTGAGGCCGGAGAGGCCGGTGGGAGGTGGCAACAGTCTCAGCCTCCCTGGCCCTTTGCTCTGAGCTGGGGGGCCCCACAGGGGGGACCTCAGCACGACCCCCCACGTACACCCCGTTGCCTACAGACCCTCATGTGCTGAAGCCTCGGGGGGTCCCGAGAGGCGACACAGAGCAGTGGCGGCCAGAGCCCCGTTACAGTCGGAGAAACCGAGTCCCAAGTCAAGGGCACGTGGAGTAAGGGGCCACTTACCCGTCGATGACAGGCGTGTCTCGCATGATCCTCTCTGCCTCGTCCCTGAATACGTCCGCGGCGCACACGGCCACTAGGGCCCAGAGCCACCAGCTGGGACACATGACGAGGGCCCCGGGATCTGCTTTGCTGGCTGCTCCGGCAGGTCCCCGCTGGCCTGGCCGCCCGTGCAGAAGGAGCTCGGGGCTGTGAGGAGCCGCTCTGCCTGCAGAGGAGAGGGCAGAGGCCTTTGGTGGAGGATCCCGTCCATTTACAGCTCCTCGGGTTCAATGAGTAACCAGCACCGTCCCTGGGACGCCAGGGCGTTGCTGTCTGGGCGAGGCAGAGGCATAGTAAGAGGCTGGGATCCCCAGCCCAGAGGAGGGGTCAGAGCCCAGATGAAAGGACACCTGGCTTAGGAAAGGACTAGCGCAGCCTAAGTGGTTAATGAATGTCAGCCTCCTTGCTGACGTTCTCTTAGGTTCTTGTCCACCCAGAGAAAAAGACGGAGGGAAACTTAACATAAGCAGAGAGTTCATTTGGGCCGAGCCTGAGGACTACAGCCTGCTAGCTATCGTAGATTCCAGTTGCCCAGAATATTTACTCCATTAGCAGCAGTTCCAAGTGGATTTTTATTTATTTTTTATTTATTTAGGCAGAGTCTCACTCTGTTGCCTGGGCTAGAGTGCCGTGGTGGTGTCAGCCTAGCTCACAGCAACCTCAAATTCCTGGGCTCAAGCAGTCCTCCTGCCTCAGCCTCCCGAGTAGCTGGGACTACAGACACGTGCCACTATGCCCGGCTAATTTTTTCTATATATATATTTTTAGTTGTGCAGTTAATTTCTTTCTATTTTTAGTAGAGACGGGGTCTTGCTCTTGCTCAGCCTGGTCTGGAACCCCTGACCTTGAGCGATCCTCCCACCTCGGCCTCCCAGAGTGCCAGGATTACAGGTGCGAGCCACCACGCCCACCTGGCCTTACAAGTAGATTTTTAAAGAACAGAGGCAGTTCCTAAGTCATTTACCAAGAATCTACACTAAAATAACATAAGCTACTGATTGGCTCTACATTGCTCTTTGTATCATAAATTGCAGGATTATAAAGGATGAGGCTAGTCAGGAAATACTGGCTAGGAAAGAAAGAACAAAACCCCTTTAAACGGCTGCCTTCAGGCACAGGTTAGGGTTAGGATTAGGCGGGGTCGTGGCTGACGTCCCTGCTCCCCTGTCTCTGGCCTGATAAACAGTTGGGTCCCCCACCGAGCCCAGACTGCTCCAAGCTGTCACTACCACTCCCTGGGGACCTGGGTGTTTGTCTGAGATCTGAAAGGAGAATTTAAACAGTCATTCCAATCAATACTCCGTTTCGAAACTATAAAAAGTGGTTCTATTAAATCCCTTAAAGTGTAAACAATTCAAACTCAAATCATACAATCGCCCGGAGCGTAAGCGGGACTCAGTGACAGGCATCGCATCCACCACATAAAAAAAAAAATGCCAGCTAATTATATATTATATAATACTTAGTTGGCCATTAATTTCTTTCGTATCTTATATGTACACGACGGGGGCGTCTCGCTCTTGCTCGCGTCTCGGTTCTCCAGACACCTCCCTGAGACTA